CGCGGGGAAGGCCTGAGGCGGGGAGGGCGGATGGGGAGTCCAGCCTGGAACCGGGCGCGGCGCCTGAGACCCCGCCCTCCTCTGCACTCAGGCTGCGCTCCCCAGGGCCGGGGGGGGGGCGATGGCTTAACACCTGCCCCGCTGGGATCCCCTTACTAACGGGAACCCAAAGGCGCTGGGCCCTCTGGGCTTCCCTCCCCCGCCAGGTCGCTGTCCACCAGCCCCTCCAACTTCCACGCCCCAACCCGAGGCCCTTGAGCTGAGCTCAGTGTTCCAGATGTCAACTCCCCTTCACCAGGGATGCCCCTCCCCCTGGGGCTCATCTGTCCATCCTCCAGTGGGGGGTTCCCCACCACCTGTCTTACCGGCATCCCCCTTTCAGAATGGGGGAGTTAGTACCTTCTCTCAGGCTGCATCCCCAAAACCTCCGGCCTCAGGACCCCCGAAGGCAGAGCCAGGAAGGGTGGTCCCTTAGTTCTCTCCTGTGCCCCCAACACCCTCTCCTCCCCATCATGGTCGCATGCGGAGCCTCTGCCTGCTCGTCCCAGCCCAGCTCAGTGCCACACTTGTCCTTCAAAGCCCTGCCTGAGTCGTCCACTCTCCAGAAAGGTGTATCTGGCCCCAGGGGTGAAGGAGGGCCCCACTGCAGTTCTGTGTCCCCGTTACTCCTCTGTGGGGGCATCACCTTTCATGACACAGGCCCTAGCCTGGACCAGAGGCTTTGGAAGGGTGGACCCCCCCGCAATACCCCACATCCTCCCCAGTGCAGTGACCCAGGGCTGAGAGGGACTAGGGTAACAGGGTGCCCAGGGCCCCCACCCTGCTCTGCCTTCTGTGTTGTGCTGGCCACCATGAATCAGCAGCTCAGCTTCACACCTGGGTTGCTGCAGGCTGGTGACCCCGGGCACTCAGGATCTGGAGACTAGTCAGTGGGGGCAGCCTGGGGTCACTGGAGCCACAGCCACCTGTACCCCGTGCCCTCCTATTCTGGGCTGCCTATGGCACTCCACTGCCTCCTCCAAGAAGTCCCCAGCTGGACCCCTTGCTCTCTGTGGTGGGGCCCAGCAGGTTCCCATTCAGACCACACCCCAGGTGCGGCATGGTCCAGCGCTGCTGCCACCGCCCACCCCCCACACACTGGATGTGGCCCAGCTTGGTCTCCAGGGATTTCCCCGGATCTGAAGCCCAGTAGCCACACTGACCAGGCACCTGGAGGTCCAGCTTCCAGATGGACTCCACCCCCAAGGCCCAAGGCAAGAGCACAGAGTGAAGACACCCTGCTGACCCCCGCTGGGGCTCAGACGCTCCTGCACCTAAGCCACAGTGAGCAGTGGAGGCTAGTAGCTCCGTGTGGCTGGATAATGGCCCTGGTTCCCCTTAAGCAGGAAGGAAGGCTTTTTTTCCTGCCCTATCCGGCCTTTGCTCCCAGAGACCCCCTCACAGTCCCCCAGTGGATCCCCTGACCACTGAGTGAAGGGGCAGGTCTGGATCTGAACCAGGTCAATTTGTGGGAAGCCATCTCACTGCCCTCCTCAGAACCCACCGGCCTGGGTGGAGCAGGGAGGGTGGTGGCTCATCTGACTTGGTACTCAAGGGATTTGGCCAGCGTAGGGGTCTGGTGGAGCCAGGCCAGCTGGGGGTGTGATGCACAGAGACTTGGCCAGCCCTTCCAAGCCGTGGGGACAGCAGGACACCACCTGGAGCCTGGCACACAAGCTGAGCGAGAGGGAATCTCCTTTATTGTGGAACCCTGGTGCAGGCACTTGACACCCAGATCCCCCAGGTCCTGTGAGGTAGGACACCCCTGACGCACTGACAGAAAAGGTCCTCGAGGGAGGACCCACACCCTTGACACGTGTGAAGCAGGGTCCTGCCCCAGACTTATCAGGTCAGCTCCATTCTGGAAGGAAAAAGGAAGAGGGCCGCCCCGCGAACCAGAGCACCCCGGCTCTCAGCCGCAGGGCCAGGGACGGGGGACAGGCCTCTTCATCAGCTTGGGTCCAAGGCCCAGGGTCCGAGTCCAAGTCCACATCGATGTGTGCCAGCCCTCTGAGTGTCCCCCAGCTCCCCTGCGTGCCAGCACCCCAGCTGGCACTGCACCCTCATATCTCTGAAAACCAAGGAGAGTGCCTGGCCTGGGCTCACATGGTGATTCCTTGCCGGCCTGAGCCCCTTATGTGGTGCCCAGAAGGATCTCGGCACCCTCATGGCACCAGAAATGGGGAGAGGGGAGGCAAGTATGGCCACCTCACCTGGCCCTTCCACAGACTCACACACACCTGCACACGTCTTGACACGTAAACATCAGGAACACACACTGGGGCACGCATGCCACGCAATGCAGGAGAACTCGTGGCTCCAGGCATATTTGCCAATTCGACACTTGGTGGCTGTCTGCACCCTGCCACCTCACAGAGAAGATCCTGCCCAGCTCTGGGACCTTCAGATCTCAGCATTTCCCAGGCTGAGCAGCTCTGACCCCTGACACCCCTCCCTTTGAGTTTCCAGGGGGCCCTGGCTCCAATGCACTGCCCCCAGACAGCCCCCTGGGACTAAGGAGATCTGGAGACAGACATACTCCCCAGGGGGACCCCTAGGCATCCAGGTCCCCCACAGTGAGGTCCCAAGGGAGACCAGGAGGGGGCAGGAGGACTGAGGCGGTCCAGGACACTCTGCCCAGGCTCCTGCGCCCGTGGTTTGCACAGGTGCATGCGGTTGTGCATTCACAGGTGTGCACAAGGAGTGGCATGCAGACCAGGGATCCCAGGCAGGGGGCTGTGGCTGCCCCTCGTGGGAACTCGGCAGGCTGAGGAAGGGACAGGCAGGCTGAGGCCCCTCCTCGAGTTCTAGTGTGGCTGGCCAGCAGCGTTCCCCTCACTGCCCGATCTCCAGGCTGACAGGCGGCTGCGGTGGCTCTGGGGGTTTGAAGCTGAGGACTTCCTGGTAGGTGAGCTCTGGGGGGTGATGGGAAAGGTGAGCACATGCTGCCGCTGGCCCAGCGCACCCTACCTGCTTGTCTGGTGCCAGGCTCCCAGCCAGGCCCATCACCCTTTGAAGGCAGCCTCGGCCATGGGCCTTCCCGGGCCTGCCCTGTGCTGCCCCTCGCCTCTGCTGGACACACAAACCCTATCTTTACCAGCTCCCCACCCCCGGAGACTGGGCACTTCCTTCAGGAAATGAGCAGCGAGCAGTGCCTGGCCTCCGTGAGAAGGCAGCCCTCAGGCCCCCGGGCTCTGCCTCCCGCCGACCTCCCCAGCCCACCCTTCCACTCCTCCAGAGTGCGGTCCTTTGCCTCCATGCTGTCATCATAAGGCTCAGCCTCGGGCTCATCGTCCGGGTCGTGGTACTGGCTGAAGTAGGCATGGCCCAGGGCCTCGGCCGCACTGACCCTCTGGTCACTGTCCAGCACCAGCATCCGTCCCAGAAGGTCCACAGCTGCAGAGTGGTGGGGGAGGCAGCGGGTGGGGGTCAGCTCTGCGTCCGGGGCCAGGCGTGAAGCCCAGTCCAGACCCAGGGCCCGTCCTCACCCAGGGGGTTGGCGCCGCGGAAGATGCTCCTGAGGTCCTTCTGGGGCACCGGGGGCAGGGACTGGACGTACGTCCGGGCCTGGGCGCACGGGAAGGGCCTGAGGGGGCTGCTCACGCGACCTCCCCCCGCCCAAGCTGGGCAGGGCTCGCCGAGAGAAGCCCCCGCTCTCACTCGCTGGAACGGGCCTGGGCAAGGGCCTGCACAGAGCCCCTGCGGATCTGGGCTCCAGCGCCTCACCCTCGATCCCTGCAGGACCTGGGCCAGGTGCTGCCCCACTGCCCTTGGCCAGGGCTCTGCTGTCGATGTTGCGATCTTGCCCTCGATGGCCCTCGGGCCAGGAATGTCTTCTGTTCACCTGCTCCCACGAAGGAGTCAGGCGCCTGCCTTGGGTCCACACTTTCATTGCGGCTCCTGCCCCACCCCCCACCCCACCACAGTGACCAGGCCCCTCCCACACTGCCCTTCCTCCAGAGCGCCTGGGGCTTGGTCAGCAGAGGAAGCTGGTGGCTGGTGACTCACATGTTCCGAGGTTATCTTTGCCAGGACCTCAGGGCTGGGTGTGCCCACCACCTCCATGATGCGCTTCAGCTGGTCGATGTCTGCCCAGCTCAGGAAATGCCCACTGGCCAGGCGTGGACCTTCTCAGGCCCCCAGACCCCAGATCTTGGGGCCCTGCCCAGAGCCTGCTCTCCTACAGGGGACCCTGAGCCCAAGGTGGGATGGCAGGGGGCAGAAGAGGCCAGACTGGCCAGAAGGTCTAGAGCCCATCTTTCTTGACCCCCACCCTGCAGGAAGGGACCCTGGCCACTCTCCTCCCCAACCTGGGCCAAGGATACAGTCCCCTCCTGGGAAGAGAGCCTTTCCCTGCAGCAGCTCGGCCATGATGCAGCCCACAGACCAGATGTCCACTGCCGGGGGTAGAGGGGGGCTTCCATCAGCCTGTCTGCCCCCAGTCCCTCCTCGGAGAACTGGGTGCTGCCCGGACTGCCCCTCCCCAGGGTCCCTAGTCATAAGCAGTCCTTTCCCTCCTCTAGACACAGCCCTGGGCAGGGGAAGGAGCTGGCCCGAGACCCACCATATTCTGCCCCTCTGAAAGTCTGTTTTTGAATGCTGGTCCCAGACCTGTGGGTCCCCCAGACTAGAGCACCGCCCATGTCCCTGGCTTCAAGCCTAGATCCTCCCCCCAGGCACTGGCACAGCTCTGCCCGCCGGCCCGGTTCTTACGCCAGGGGCCGCCCCAGGTAGCGTCACAGCCGTCACCTGTCTGGTTGTAGTGCATCCAGTTGAGCATAATCTCTGGCGCGCGGTACCAGCGCGTGGCCACGTAGCCCGTCATTTCCTCATCAGCCTGGCGCGCCAACCCAAAGTCCAGGATCTGAAGCAAAGCCCTGGGCTTCAGCGCCAGCCCGGATCCCCTCCCCGATGCCCTGCCCCGTCCCCGGGGCTCACCCTGAGCTCGCAGTCCTCGTTTACCGCCACGTTGCTGGGCTTCAGGTCCTGCAGGGCGCAGGGGTGTGAGCAGAGGAGCGCAGCGGCCCGCCGCAGGCCGACCCTCACAGCCCCCGCCCCCAGCCCCGCCTGCGCACCTACCCGGTGGATGATCCCGGCCGAGTGGATGTACTGCGGGGGTGGGGGGGGGGAGAGGAGCATCAGGTTCCCGCCTGCGCATCCAGCCCCGCCCTCGCGCGGCGCCCACCTTCAGCCCGCGCAGCAGCTGGTACACGAGGAACTGAACGTGCTCGTCGGTCAGCGCCTGGCACTTGACGATGTTGTTCAGGTCGGCGCCCATCAGAGTGGTCACCAGGTACCTGAGGGCCGAGGCGGGGCGTGCAGCGTCAGGACCGAGACCTGCCGCCCCTTCCCTGGCCGCGCTCGGCCGCCGCTTACACTTCGCTGAAGTCCTCAATGGAGGTGGCGGGGGTGAAGACGTCCAGCAGCCCGATGACCTGGCGAGGAGGGGCGTCAGCACTGCGGTCCAGCTCAGGCCCGCCCACGCGCCCCGCGCGGGGTCCCGGCTCACGTTCTCGTGTTTCAGGTGTTTGAGCAGCCGCAGCTCCCGGTAGGTCCTCCGCGCATGGATCAGCGACTGAAAGGGGCGCGACAGCTTCTTCACCGCCACCTTCTGGCGCAGCCGCGTGTCGTAGGCCGAGCTGCAAGGCGGCGGGTGAGGCTGTCGGCGGGGCCCGCGGTGAGCGCCGCCCCAGGCCCGTCCCAGGGGAGAACGGTAGGCTCACAGACACCCGGCCGCCACTCCTCCGTGGGGGGTGAGGGGCCTGCTCCGCTCATCCCTGCTGGACCACCGCTCTCCTCCCAGGGGCGTTTGCTCCAGGACCCCTCCGGGCTGGACTGCCATCGCTGTGCAGCCGCAGCGACCCCGGAATCGTGACCGGCAGGCTCTGCACGTCTCCTGTCCTGCTCCTTCCCCAAAAGGCAGCTCACCCTCCACCGCACCCCTACAAGCAGACCTGCCCAGCGCGTGCGGCTCACCTGCTCCACCTGGGAGCCCCAGGGCAGGACCTGGATCTTCTGTCCCCTCACCCCAATAACTCACACCCCAACTCAAGCGAGGCGGGGCGGGGGGGAGGGCCTCCACTGACCAGGGTGGGAATAAAACACCAGGAAAACAGCCACTGGCTATTCCCACATTAGAAGGTCGTCCCCCGCCATGGACCATGGATCCTGAGGCTTCTGGAGGGTTCTAGAGCTGCCTTCAAAGCCTTGGCATAGTCAAAACATGGAGGAAAAACTGGCATTACTTGTAACGGTGAGAAACCAGACAGGAGGAAACGTGGCACAGAGGGCGGTGTCTGCACCCTCCGTCACATCCCCTGTGCCCAGCCCCAGTCTGCAGAGGTCCAGACCCTGCACCTCCATGCGCGTCTGCTCTGCACGGGAGACACGACACTTGCTGGCATCAGCCTCAGATGTAAATGGTCCAGTCACCCCCCACCCTCCCGAGGTCCCACTGCCCTCAGGATGGGGGCCTGCTGAGCACAGCGCCTTCGCATAGGCTGTCCCCTCCAGCTGATGGCCCCTGCCTTCCAGTTCACCTCCTGTCTCTGGGGTCTTGCTTCCCCCAGGAGTGAGCAGAGTCCACAGTCCCAGGAGCAGCTCCCGCAGGACCAGATGGTGCTGAAGGAAAGCCAGGTAGGCGCTTGGGGAACCTGAGCCCCTCCCCCTAGCCTATGACCTGTTGGGGAACCTGAGCCCCTCCCCCTAGCCTGTGACCTGTCGGGGAAGGTCACTCCTGGGGTGGGAAGGAGAGTGTGGTCCCCCAGGTTGAACAGCAGATCCTTTTGCCTAATTGCATCTGTGCAGTTGAGCGACAGGGAGTTGGCCCTGGGTTGATGGCTTCATCAGAGGAACGTGGAGCCCAGGAGGGAGTGGTCACCTGCACTGGCCAAGTCAAGCTAAGTTCCAAGGAGAGAGACCTGAGCCTCCCTTGGGGAGCTTGACGTTAACTAGGAACTCCCAGAAGGAGCTTCTGGGCCAGAGGCAATTCCAGCAAGGTCCCCAGGGGCCACCCACACATTGTCCCTGACCCTCTTCTTGGTCTTGATGTCTTAGACATAAAGACAGAGGCCTGTGGCTGGAATGGCTGAAATAGCCTGAGGTTTCTGACTGTGAGTGACAGCGTGAGATCAGAGGCCACATTGGCCCCAAGCCCCTGCACCAGACTCCAGCCCTGGACCTCGGGGGTTGGCCGGGGGGGCGGTGGTGGAGAGTTCTGGGAATCCCATTCTTAACCTGCCAGAGGCCCTCAAGTGCCCCTGCCTCCCCACTACCTGTCACCCCTGCAGTGGACAGCAGCCATCTAGCAGTGGCCTAAGGACATCACTGGGTGTTGGGGGGGCTCACGTCTCAACATCCACACCCACAATCAACCTCACTGTCAAGATTGCAAGTGACAGGGGCCTCCCTGCAACCACCTGATCTTAAGCTCCCTCCAGCTTCCCTCCCTCCCAGGGTGACAGACTTCAGCTAAATCTGACCCTCCTACACACTTCCAGATGCTGTCCTCTCTCTCTGGGGTCCTCTCTATCTGGGACTGTGCTCTGAGCTTTCTTGGTTGGGGCAAAAATGGGATGGGGCATAGACCCCCCCATAGGATGGTGAGGGTAAGGGTAGGCATAACTGCTTAGGCCTAAACCTCATCCAAAGTCTGAAACCCCTTACAAAACGCGGTGGGAGGTGGGGGTAGAACCCATGGGAAGGCCTGAGGCTATCCTAAGGGAAGGAGTCTTGCTCTCCCCCTAGCTGGGCTCTACTTTTACAAAAAAAAAGTACCCACCCTAAGGCAGGGGCATCTGCCAGACCCCGGGGCTGCCAGAGCCTGGACAGAGGCGTGCTGGGGCATTTAGGAGCCTGGGAGACCCGCCCTTTCGCTGGCTGTGACGCCAGTGACGCCGCAGGATTCTGGCTTGGTGGAGGACGCTCCAGCTAGGACAGGGAGGGAGGACGACCCCTCTCTGCCCGCGAGCAGCGTCTGGTAGGAAAGTTTCCTTCACGGCCCCCGACCCCCCATTCATTCTACTGATCCGCGCAGCGTCCGGGGTGGAGGCAGGGCGAGGCCCCTCCGCACGC